ATAACATGGGAGAGAAATTTGGTCCCTGTTATATGGAGCAATAGTGAATGATGCAGTGAGGGTTTCCCCCAGAATAACTGGTGTCACACAGAGTGGTGGGTTCACTCTCTGAGCTCCAGTGAAACCTGGGACGACCAGGGGAGTATTCTGAGATCAAACTCCTTTTGTCTTCCTTACAAACATCATTTTTTACACCAGCATAAATCTATTGTTTTCGTGATGGTCCAGGTCTCAGGTGACACAGAGCTGTGCATCAGGCTGTGCTGGGCTGTACCTGACCCAGCTTCAGTGGAACTACTCCTGATTTACACTGTGCAAAAGAACCTGGAGTGAGGCCCAAGGACAACAGGACTGTGCCCAAATGGACCTTTACATAAAGTAAACCACAAAAAGTCTGTGCATTCAACTTCAGGTCTGCTTAATAAATTACTACAATTCACAGTAATAAGGTAGATTAGCGCCACACCAACTTCTCCAGTGCCAGATCATTTTCACATAGCTTTTCCAAGAAAAAAAATTAAATAACAATAAACATAAAAAGTTTGTTCCTAGTTTTTTGAAAAGCTACATTGGTGGTTTTCTGTAGCCTAGTGATAGCCAAGCTTAGTACTACATTCCCCTGTTATGGGCTGCCTGGTGTAAAGGCTGGACCTTGTCCAGGATGCTGTGGTGTGAAAAGACTTGAGGAAGGCAATCCAGCCTGGTTCTTATTCACCCCAAAACCCCGGCTGAGAACCAGCTGCTGGGTCAGAGCTCACAGACACTGGCACTGAGGAGAGATGATCTCTGAGCCAGTGGGATCTCCCCAGCATCCAGCAGTGATGGATGGGCTGCTCCAGAGCTCGATCAGATCAAGGTGATGACTCCTGGCTGTGCAGAAGTGTCTGAGCCAAGGGAGGGCTCTGGGGGATGCTCCAGGGAGGGTGGGTGCCATTCTGGCCAGCTCCAGTGTGCCAGGGTCCACCCCAGGGAATGCTCTCCTGCCTTTCTGCAAAGAATATATGGGGCCAACAGCTCCCCTCCTCACTTCTGGGCATGGTTCAGCCTTATGAATTCCACTTCATGCAATCAAAAGATAAATTATACTTACAAATAAAGCATTCTAGTTACTTTATGTTTTTCTGTAGTGGAAAAATCAGACGCAACCTGATGAAATCTCCATTGTCTGAAAATTCAGGGCCTGTTTACTAAAAATACTTTTTGCTGATGGCAAAGTTCAACACCTTAGAGAAATTCAGAGTAGGTTTCCAAACTGTGTACTCTATTTTCAAATACACTATACCCTTGTTGTTTGTAAGGCTGTATTGAAATTTTACATAACAGTCACGAGCCGTGCATTGAAACACCTTCAAAGAGTTGACCAGCAACTTAATGCATTTCTTTATACCATGGAGAATTTAAAGATGTGCCATCTCTTTCCAAAGCATATGAATATTCAGGATAAAATATTCCATGTCCCCTCTCCCCCATTAATGTCTGTATTTAAAAGCATTATTTTATAGATTTCTTTGTCTATGTAAAAAATCCAATTGTTAATTAGTCTCTAAAACAAAGTAAAAAAATACAAGCATGAGAAATAAATGTTTATTATCTCAATGTCTTGAGACAAACTGTCCATGTGCAGACTGCCTTCCTGCACATGGATGCAAGGAATTTTGAGTGTAGACCTTGCAGTTTACCTATATCTCACTTCCTAGCAGCAGAAACAGGAAAGTTTGAGACCACTACACAGGGAGTTTTTTTTTTCTTTCTTTCTTTCTGTGGAGTCATAATGTTAAAGCACTATATTCTTTTTTTGCCAGTCCAAGTCATGGCTAGAAATAGGAGGGACTGGGTTCAGCCCAGGAGAAAATATACTCCCTGAAAAGCACAGGACAAAAGTTCTGGTGCAAGATGGAAGAGTAAGAGAGACTCAGAAGCTGCAAAGCACAGGTGCCTTTAGAGAGGAGAGCTTCAACTGGTGCAAAGTGGGCACAGGCTCCTTTGAATGAACTGTCTGCTGGCCACTGAAACTGGTGCAGGCTCTGAGCCGTGGCACTGCCCAGCTCTGTGCAAGAGCCCTTGGAGGGGTTCTCAAGCTCAGCCTGGAGAAAGGGTTCCCAGTAATTAAAGATCTGAATTCCTAATTCTAATTTGATTCTGGACTGTGAGCCTTTACTCAGCTCTACTCAGAAGAGTCACTGGTAGAGACACTGTGGAGTGGGGCTAACAGTGCTGTGCTATGCATTTTCCAGGATTCTTTTCAGTTGCTGAAGTTGCTTTTGAAATATGTATGTGATGTTCCTAAGAGAACTGCACAAGAACTGTGATTTGTATTATGGCAGTACTTGAAAGGCACTGCATTCTACTGTTTATTTATCTCTGGGTGTTCACTACTATTCTTTTAAGGAGACCCAAAATAGGTAGGGGTAGCAATTTTGAACAAAGAACATGTATTTTTACCTGAAGATAAGTCAGTGCTTTATAGGCAGAAGTATTTAAACCCAGAACTATCAATTAGTACTTTGACTATTAAAGTTTGTGGAAGAACCTCAGTCTGGAGGCAATAGATCAAGGATGCACATCCCATTGGCCATCACCTAAACACTCCTTCCATAGCAAGGTTTAAATCAAGACAGGATAGATTTTGGCTGGTATTTGCATCCCCAGAGTCAAATTTCATCTTAGCAGAGAAGACTATGATGAAGTCAAGGCCTTCCTACAAGTAAAGAACCCAGTCCTTTATTGGCTATATGGCTGCTTTGGAAAGGTCCAGCAGCAGGAGCAGGTAAGAGATTTTAATATCCTTATCTCACCAGCAGTCTGTGCTTCTCCGCTGGAGATTTTGCTACTTCTTGCCCTCATTGTTCCTGATGAGCCAAAGCAAAGTGAGGTGGATTTCATTTTTAGGAACATCTTGTTTTATCTCATCATTTCCTGAAAAAACATATGGCCTCAGTGTATGGTTATTTTATTCTTTAATAGTTTTATGGCAGTTTTCTTTAGAGGCAAAACAGATTAGGGGAGCCCAGGCAAGGTGCTGGACACTGGAAAACTGTGTCAATTATTTTGGTTCTGCACAGGAGCATTACATTCATTGTTTGTCTCTCCCTGGTGAACAGTCTTCTGCTAATGAACAGAATATCAAGTAACCAGCTGTGAGTGCCCTCAGTGACAGTCAGACATTTCTGCTCGGCTCTGTGGCTGAGTCAGGCTTTCCTCATCCCCAGTTCCATACAATGTGTGCCCTTCTAGCTGCAAATGGGCGCTGACACTGCTGCTCCCCCTGCATCTTCTCACCCACAGGAATTTTTGGTGTGGGTCACATCCAGACCCTGTGGGAGTGAATGGAAGTCTTTCCATCCTCACTTTGGATCAGGTAATGAGTATTTTTGGTGCGAAAAGTTAACTTCCTGCTCCCAAAATGAGAAGTTACAAATGTAAATCCCTTATAGAAATTTTTTGCCCTTCTATCACTGCAAAGACTCTTCTTGGCTTCCACGTACTGACCAAACATAAAATAGTGAATAACATTTATTTTTTGAATTTATGGATTGAGTTCACAGGGATTTTAATAGCACTGGGGTTATGGAAGTGCTATTTTAATAAGGACCACAGATCATGGGCCCGAATCCTTACCTTTACCTCAAGGACTTGTAAACTCAACTATTTAACTCAAATCTCTTTATTGGGGGCCTTAGAATGTATCCACCTGGAGGCTGGAAAACTGAAAGGTAGAAGGCTGCACAAACACGGAGTGAGGGAATTTAACCAGCAGGAATGTGGCCTATAAAATTAAACTTCAAGAACTGTTTAAGAAAATTAAAGCTTGTGCAACAGCTGGGGTTTCTCTACACATTAGTTCATTTCTTGGTGACTCCAGTGTTATGGTTCTTATTAATATAGATTTCATTTTTGAGATTATCTTCTGTCATGCTTCAAGGTTTATTGTGGTTGCAAAGGACAAAATCCTGACTCAGTGTAATTTGCCTTTACACAATAGAGCAAGATCCCAATCTCCTTATCATATTAATATTTATTTGGGGCCCAAAGATAAAAATCTCAGATTCAAACCTCACCCCAAACTTCCCTAATCGGAATTGCCAGAATATTCCAGCTTCAGTCATAGTGATCAAATACTCCTGGGGTTTATGGTGAATATTCAGTAATAAAAATAGGGGTGTTTCTTTCCAATGGGTGTGTGAAAGTGATGCCAACACAACAAAATGTTCTCTTGTGTGGTGGGGAGAAGAAAAGTCAATCTCACATAGACCCTGCATATTATTTGTCTAGAACCTGGCCTCATTTTGTCTGCTCCTGACCTCAAAGATTCAACTCCTGAGCTTTTAAAATTACTTGCCACTTAAATAATTTGGAATCTAAGCTGCTGAAAACACAATTGTGATAATTATGCCAGACTTCAACAGCATTCAGAGATGGTGTTGATTACATTTTCTAGATATTGAAAGAATTTCCATTTCTTTAAGGGGCCAGAAACTCTGGGTTATCAATGTTACTAGACCAGTGAGCATTTCAACTATATCCAGCCTAAATCCATTCAAGAAAAGGTGGAAAGTAGAAAAAATTGCAGGAGATGGTGGGAAATAGTTTAATAGACTTTTAGGACACAGTCCTAACATAAGGACACCAAGGCTGTTACAGCTTCTGCTTACTTGCAGGCAGAACTACTCATGCTTAAAATTTTGCATGCTCAGAGAAACATGGGAATGAAGAGACCTGCATAACCTGATTACTCAATTGCACATTGTCATGTAGTGACTGTTATGACTCTACCTGCAAAGCTGCAGATGTCAGTAATAATAATGCTCATCTCATGGCAGGTGATACCTCTGTGAGACCAGAAATCTGGTGATGAAGTCAAAAGATTCAGATTCTTTAGAGAGGCACAAGTTGCCATTTTAGGAGCTGGATTTTTACCAGTGATTTTGAAAGTATGGCCTTTATGATCACAACTCTCATATCTCATGTGGAGTGATGGGAAGCTGTGCAGGATTCTGGGGTTAAAGGGTGCTGCTGAAAACTTCTGGGACAGCAGAACCCGACTGCTCCTCTGGACCTGTGATCTGTTGCATAGCACTGTGCACATCCGTGTGTTCCACAGACTCCATGCTCATCGCCCAGGGCTTTACCTCTTCATCCAGAAATGTTGTTTCATAAGGCTCCACATGTGTCCTATGGACATCCTGCCTTGCTTCCTCATACTTGCCTTTCCCATCCTCTGGAAGGCTGGATGCATGAGGTACGAAAGTGCTCTGAGACCTATCGGTGGGAATCTTCACCTGCTCACTGGAGGTAGGTTCTTGAAAAAAATCTGGAGATCTCATAGGATGCTGTGTGTACACACCTTCAGACAGGGAGCCCCCCTGAGACTCGCTGTGCACGCGCAGCCAGCGGTGCTGCCGGCTGAAGTAGTTGTAATGTTGGTGCTTCCCCAACTTTTTTTTCCCTAAAAAGCCCAGTGGCTGCTTAGAGCTGGAGGACTTGTCCGTGCTTTTCGGTGTAAGCCCTGACATTGTCAGGCTGCTCATCTGCTCTGTGCAACATTCAGCACTGGTGTCCAAGGCACCACACTCTGTCACTTCCCTCAGTGCCAGGCAGGGCTTCACGTCGTGGGCTTGGAGCACGTTGGGTGCGCTGCCCCCCAGGCCGCTGCCAGCCTGCTGGGAGATGTCCTGGGATGAGGAGTAAATCAGCTCTGATTCCCTCGGGCTCAGCGCATCGCTGGAGTCGTAGTCACTGTCGGTTGGGAGGAACACCTCGGAGCAGCCTTCCTCATCCGAGCAGGGCTGGGAGTCTGCAAGGAGAACTGGTTAACACTCACAAGACAAACTCTGCAGAGAAATGACTTGACTGTCATTTATGTGGTTTTTGTCTTAATTTTAAATCTCCAGTGCTGGAAATGTATGTGTGTTTCCTCTGTGGAATTGCCACAGGCCAAGGTGACAGCAAAGACAGTCAGGGAGGATTTATCAGGGTTACAGATGTGTTAGATAGGTAGTGGCAGAATTAGGAAAACCAAAAAGAATTAATGGAATGTGTTCAAGACAGGAAAAATATTGAATTTTAATTGGGATTAAGTTCTGATAGGATCTGTTTTATTTTGCTTTCACTAGATTTCATAGACATGGATATTTGTGAGAGAGAAAATCTCTAATCCCGGTTCTGTTTTTATTAAAGATGTCAGTTAAGTTACTCTAGATTTATAACTCTGTAATGGTGAGCAGGGCACAACTATATAAGTGTGGTAAGAGGCTCAAGGCCCAACATGGAGGTTGATAAATAAAAACTGCCCTTTTGGCCATCAGGTGCATTGTGTGTTCAAATCCAAAACAGACGTAATTCAAATGTGAATTTGTGGACCAAATCTCACACTGGCACTGAAATTGCTGCTGTCTTTTGGCTTCAGAAGGATCAATAAAATAATAAATAGTGGCATGTGTGATAGAACAGATTGATGCTCCATTGCCCTGGATAGTTTATCTTAGATTCCAGGAATTAAACATCGATTTTATACAGTGCTGACTGTTCACTTGGAGTGAAAATTGCCATAGAGCCCAGCACTAATGAACCCAGGGTGTGCAGGACAAGATAAAGCTGTAGTTTGCAATGTACCAGAGCTAAGGATTATTCTGCATTCATGGTCTGCAATACAGGGGGAAAAACATCTCAGGGAGGGGTGCTGAGAAAGAACACCACCTTTTAGTGGAGTGCAGCAAAGCACCAGCCCCTTCAGGTTTATTTTCTTTTGACCTCATGAAATCTAATCAGAATAGATTTATTCATTTTCCTTAACTGTATAAAACTGCCAATTTGAAAAAAACCCAAATTATTATTACTGTAATGGTCATGGCAGTTGTTTAATGCAGCATCTCTTGCTTTTGTTTCTACTGTTTCATTTACTTGTTGCTTAAAGACAGCTCAGCAGAATGATTGATTTTTTCCTCCAAAGTCTTTATTCTGTTAGCAAAATAGGTGTTGCTGTTCCATTTGCTTCATCTTTATTTGCTGTGATCTATTTCTTTTATCAGTTTAATTTTCTGACTATGCAGAGAAGTAATAATGGCCAGTGAGGTGGGTACTTGTTTGCGTAATTAAAAATGCTTCTCTAAAACATTGAGAACTCTGAGAGGTGTGTGAAAACAGCTGTTGAACTGGACTATTAGCACTAAAATTTGCTCTATCAAAACAAAGCAAGAGGGGCATAAGAAATAATTGCTGCAAAGCAGAGGAACACTCAAAGCCTGGAAAAGAAATGGCTGTAATACCTGAGAAGCAGAAGGTGGCAAATGGAAACTATGGAAAAATTTGAGTTAGATTCTGTCAAATTAATCAAAACTGTGGGGCAGAATAATAGATACATGAGTGATGAGAATGGGTCAATAGCTTTTGCTAGCAACTCATGTCTCATCAGTCTAACAAAACACTGAATGTGCGCAGAAATAATGCACAGACGTTGTCAGAGCTCTTGATAATGTTCTTGATAAGAGCTTTTGATAATGTTCTTTACCACAGGCTCTGCAGCTGGAATTGGGACAAAGAGAAAGCTCCCTCCATATAAAAGAGCAGATTTTGGGTGTAGGCAAAAAATGAAGCAGGCAGCTTTCACCATGGATGGATTTTACTGGAATTCTGGACATCATGGAAAAGCCAGTGATGGCACTTGTCCCTTCCTATGACAAGTGATCATTAAATGATCTGGAACAGCGAGGTAAAAATGTTGGCTGATGATGAGCAGTTATTCTGAGTAGCTGAAAGTAAAAATTATTGCAAAGATATTGAAGGATCTCAGGATACTGAGTGGCAAATGATTGGTAAAATGTTAAAATACCTTGGTAGGTATGGGAAAAATTTGCTTCTTTTATAAAAAGATATACAAGAATTTTTATAATTAGAAGTGCGTTCATATAGTGCTTGGTGAACAAGAAAAGTTCTCTTACCACTCACAGCTTTTCTCCTCTGGATTCTAGGCTCAGGGGAAGGTGGAGGTGAAGGAAGACAATCTAGATGTGAAGAGGTGGAGCTCATTTTCTTTTGAGAATGTTCTTCTGAAAGATCCACAAGCTTCTTTATGGGCAGGCCTGCTGCTGGCTGCTTGTATCTTGCATACTGCAGTGCTTCTGTGATCCATCTCATGTCCCTCCATATCTCATCAATTTGCTGTGGAGAAAATAATAGTGACAAAATACAGTTAAGTCTGAGTATTAATTCTACCTGTGTACCTTTTCAAGTGTCCAAGTCTGTAGTCACTGCCAAGAGAGAGCAGCAGGATCCCCCAGAAGAACATTCAGATTGAGGTGATCAGAACTGATTTTGGTTAAGAGGTACCTCAGTTAAGAATGTGTAGTTAGGAGGGGTGAATCCAGACTTAAAGTCTGACATGGAAAGAAGATTAAAATTGTATTTTGATGGAGTAAAAATCGATTTTCAAGCACACCTGGAAGTTGGTTTGAGAATCAAACTGGAATAAAAGTGAGACTTCTGGAGCATCTTTGCAAACCCAGGTCAAAGCAATTTCTCAGGTCAGACCTAGTTTTTACCAAAGAACATACACACGTGTGGATACATAAATGGAGGGCAGAAGCACAGCTATGAGCCAAACTGCAATTTCTCCCTTACCATTTTAGTCTGCATACATTTTACAAGTATAAATCTACACAAAAGCAGTTCTAACACATGCCTGTTGATGGCAATAAGAGACAAGTGCCTAAATCAATAGCAGGATGTAGGTTTACATATCTCTGCAGAGAGGAAAGATGCTGTTTAATGTGGGTCTGAAGAGTGTTTTGATAGTGGAACACTTTCAACATCTTCAAGCCATTCAAGATCTTTGATGGCTGAGCAAATATTGCAACCACCAAATGACAGTAGCTGTGGGTAAATACCCTCCTGCTGCAGTGTCCTTTCCAGAACTTCCCTTGCACTTTTCCTAAAGAAGGTTCTGAATTTCAAGTGAGCCTTCCTATTAGTATTGCAGTGTTTGAGGGAAGCTGCTTTGCAGTTACACAAGCTACATTCTGCAAGAATGCAGTGAGAATTCTGGGTCAGTAATGGAAAGGAAAAAGTGAGGGTTCTCTGAGCAGTAACAGTTGTCTGACTGGGGAGTGACAGAGGGATCAGAAAGGCTGCAGACTGATATTTGAAGATGACTTCTCTTAGCTGGACATATTTCACAAAATGCATATTCAAAGTGTGAAATGTTCTCCCAGGGGATACTGTAGAAGCCAGATTTGCTGGGGTAGTTCCTGATGAGCCATGTTGGAGGCAGGATAGCTGGGCTGCTGGATCTTGGTTTTGACCTAGTATGGCCATTTTTATGTAAAGGTAAAATCCCAACTCCAATGATGTCAGTGCAAGCCTTGCCACTGAGTTAATCTGAGCTAAGAATATACATCAATAAGAATAGCAAATGGTTCAGAGATTAATTCATAATCCTGCATAATTTCAAGACTTCGGTATTTCTCCATGAAGAGAATTCCAGTTAGCAAACATCTCACCTATTTGATTTTAGAGATTTTATACATCCTTTTTGTGATCCTCCCTCAACCCCAAACAAGAATCAACCTGCATGCAGTTTATTAAAATGCAACTCCTGTTGGTTTTTTTCCCCTGGTGCTGTTCTGCAGGACATTGTAATGAACTGTGGTTGTTTTATAATTTAGGAACATTTGAAGCATTAAAACTTCAGTTTTAGTTTCAGTGTCTGTAGATTTCATTCCTTTCTCTGTAACATTCTGGTAAAGACTCCGAGTACCTTATATTCTGGTTGGGTTTTTTTCAAAAATTTTTACTTTTCAGTTGCCCTCTGACTTCTTTTCAGAACTGCATTTATATAGACTCCCTTGCTCTTTACAATGTTTGGTTTGTGTAGTGACTTCAGCACTGTCTTAGATCTGGGATCACACAAATGCTCTTGCGGTTTCGTGGTCACCACTGAAGATTGCGGTATGTGGTGGGCAGAGATATTTTTGCCAATAGGTGGAATACAGCTGGTTTTCATTTGAGAGGAAACCTGACAAGCCTAATACACTGTCACAATAATTCAGCACAAAACACTGAAGTTTAAAATGTTCTCCTGTATTTTCCCAGTGTAGATATGTGACTCAAACACTTCGGAGGAGAGGAACACAGAACTGTCTATACCTGCATATTAATATACAAATGCTTGGGTTTGATGTGAAGGATAAAAATTTTCCAAATTCTCCTGCAGACAGCAAGAAAGCTAGGATTTCTGAGTGTGAGAATGGGAGGTGATTGAGAATGCAAGTACAATGTCTCTTCCCTCTCTGCCCTGCTGAAGTTTGCTAAAAGCTCCAAGGGGACAAGGCAAAGGCGGTCTGAATGCAGAACAAAGAGAAATAGAAATATTATCCTATTGTTCATAACTATGGAGGGCCAAACATCTTGTCAGTGGGAAAAATGGTGTCTTGGCTCCTATTCCAAGCTTGAATATTTAGAATACAGAGCTGTAAAATTATTTGCATCTCTCTTGTAGAAAGACAGGTCAACTATACCCATAGACATACTCTGTAAAAGTCATGAGCTTTATCTATAAATAACTGATTGCCAGAATTGTTTGCAAAAGGACAGGCTTTGCTATGCTGCACAATGAAATGTAGTTCAAAGAGCCCTGAGATGAGTAGGTAAAGTCTTAATTTGGTAACAGCAGAGGAAAATCAGGATGAAGGACAGAGAATAACTGGGGGACTGAAGCAGTGCCACTTCATGGTGCTGGCCAGGCTCACAGCTGCTTTTAGGGCCAACATGACATCTGAAATGCAGAGCTGTGTTCCTGAGCATGATATTGTTGGTGGAGATTGTCTCCTCAACCTAGTCTGAATTTTCATTTTAATTTTTTTAATTGCCACATTATCACTGTGAAAAATGTCCCCAGTTCATAGAGACAAAGAAAAACTCTCACACAAATGAATGGCCAGACATGGTGCTAGCTTACCTCACGTTAGATGGGAGGGAGTTTTACAAGCAGACTGACACATTTCTTTATAACAGTCTAGTATAACTGTCATTTGATTTTACCCATAAAAATCCTTCTATAAAAGCAACAACTAAGGAAAGCATGTTCTGGGTTTGAATTTCATAAAAAACAAAATTGCACTTTTGATACAACTGCTCTTTTTATGATGTCTGTGAATAATTCGCCATTTAGATTTCAAATTACAGCCCTATGCAATTTTTAAGAAAGCCACCTTAAAATCTCATTGGAATAGTCAGAAACAGACTATTACCTGTATGCAGTCTATAACTTGCTGGTGTCTTTGTTTGGCTGCAGCGACTTCACTGTCTGAAATTGCTTCCCTCAGGGACTGCTGGGTTTTCAGAGAGTCCAGCTCTATGACAGCAGAAAGGCGGCAATACAGGCTTATAAATTTTTCCTTGTAACAGCAAAAATGAACTGGGAAAAGACCAAGTGCAAAGGAAAATTGTTACATTCTGGTTTATGAAATATGAAATCCTTAGCTTTCAGAATACAAATATTATTAAATATAGGAACTAACTCTGGATGGGTTTCTTTAAGCTAGAAATAAATAATACAGGCTTGAGTTCTCCTCTCATTTACACTGGATTTACTCTGCTACTTCACTGATTTCAAAAGAATAATTTCTAATTATATCTAAGTGAAGGGATAATCAGGTCCTTAGTATGCGGCTCCAGAGGCTATCTTGCCCTTGACAGCTTTAATCAGAAAGGCTACTTCTGAGGCTTTTATAGCTCATCATTTCTTTCAGCAAGAAAGTGGTGACATGGCTGGAAAATGGAACTCATATTTTTTTTTTTGAGTATTTCAGAGTGAAAGGATCATTTTGAAGGCTGATTACTTTCTCTTGGGTTACGCTGGCTTAAATCAGGAACTTCAATGTAGCTGACTCAGCAGGAAAAGCATTGCAGTGATATCACAGTTTGGGGGAAACAATTCAAACTCTTTTAGGTGTTACCACACATTATCCTCTGAACTCTCCTGCAGAAGGGTAACACAAAGTTCAAACATGACCTCTTGCTTTGTGTAATTTGACTTTGGAGCAGCACAGAACTATCCAAGCTTTACCAGAGGTAATGGAGACAGAACAGCTACAGTGCCAGGGAGCTTTGCAGATGTTAATTCACCTGGTGTGTTAAAGCTACACTATTCCAGAACCTGCCAGTGCTTAGGCAAAACCAAGCTGTTACCTCTCCAAATGGCAGTGCAGACATACTGAAACTTGCTGAGGGGGAGCAAGTTCTCAGAAATACTTCCCCATTCATTGGTGCTGCAGTAAATGCAAACAAACAGCATGATCTTGTTAGAGCAGCGAGTGCCAGTTGTATTTACTGCTGCTGCTCTTCTGGACTGGGGCAGGGCATGTTTCAGGGTGTCCCAGGTGAAAAATGCATATATTCTCCTCATCACAAATATTAAAAAAAATAAATTGAAACAGTGTCCCATGTCTACCTATCCCTTACAAACAACATGGTTAGAGTAATTGAGGAGAATTTGTTGAACTAAGAGATCCAATCACAGAAACATTTTTAGCATTAACAATAAAAGTCTAATCTGAACATAGAAATCTCACAAAAAAGAGTAAAAGAATGAATTCTACCTTCTGGTTTCAGCAAAGCCTAGATATTGCAAGGATCCAGTGTGAATAGTGTGTGGTCTTCCAGTACATATGCCATATGTGGTGGACTCCTGAGTGAATTACAGCCGCGGTTTCAGCTCCAGTGCTGAAGTTTTGAGTCTTTGTGGTTTTAAGTCAGACCCTTTAATGTTACTTTAACAAATGTTACTTCAACATAGTCTTTTGTGGTTATGCAATTATATAGTTGGTAGCCACCAGCTAATGGGGAATGGAAGCTTCTAATATTTGAGATGTGAATCATAGTCACTTTATAGAACATCAGGGATACATATATAATAAGTCATATTGAAATGTCATCCGCCTTTGGCCAGAGGATTGCTTACTTAAAAAAATACTCAAAAGTAAAATTCAGCTTTCCATACTGTTTCTCCACCATGAACTGCTTTCTCACTGCAGCAGCATTGCTGGACAGAGAGGACTGCCCCAGGAATGCCTTTTGGGAGATGTTTCTGTTGCATGTTTGCTGGTGCCACAGCATCCCATGCAGGCTGTGTCCCTGAAATGAGAGGCAAGCCTGCCCCTGGTCTGTGTCCCACCTAATGAGAATCAGATAGTCTGCACAGCCTCTATTATTGGAGAGGAGATTATTGCACCAGAGATTAATATGCTCTGTACATTAATTTGCATAGCAAGGCAGCACGCCCCTCCCACCAGAAGAAATGATTTGTCCATACTCAGAAGCCAACAGGCTTCATGGGGGGCACATCAGAAGATAAAAGTCTGGTTTTAGGGCACTGCAGCCACGCCCATGTGACCTAAAGCACTGGGCTAACTCTTCTCATTCAGTTACATTGGCTTTCCTTTGAAGGGGTAACTTTTCCTTGGCAGAAAACACCATGCATGTGTGGCTGTTCCACTCATAATTGTATGGCAGCTCAGCTGGCATCTGCCCTCCCACAGGCAGCAGAAACCCCCAGAGCTGTCACAGGCACCACAGCGCTGTGGCTGATGTGGCATAAATCCAGTGCTGTATTCCTGCCTGATCTAAATGAAATTTGTGTTGCTGGGTGATGGTAGGTCATGGATGAGTTGTGACTGCAGAAACACAGGCAAGGCAAGACACTCCATTAATATCTAACCTCCTACATAAGTGATTTGAGCAGCACTTGGCACTGATACACAGGAGATAGGAAGGCAATGGTGTGACATAAACACCTGACAGGGACATCACTAGGGACACAGTCGCCACCAAGGCCTTTCCTGCAGTGGCTCCTGGTGTACTGACTTGATCAGTTTTGGCTCATATCCTTCTCTCTCCTCCAAGGCAGAGGAAAGAAAGATCCCCAATTTTACAGGCCAGAAGGAAACAGAGCAGACTGATGTGTAAGGCTCAGCAGCCCCCACATTTTAATATTCTTTCTAGAAAGAACTATTAAGTCTTTATGAGCTGCTTTTATGTGGAACCTTTTCTTTTCTCTGTGGACCAAAGAAGAAGAAATGAGAAATAGAGGACCTTGAAGCTAAAGCATCTTATGCCTTCTGTGAAACAGCTGGAAAACTCTATTTTGGGGAATTCTTGCCCAGTTAGCAATCCAGTGGAAGAAGAGAGCTGAATCTCCTACAGCATAAGATGTTCTCTCCAAAGAAAGAGATTCAATTCCAGTGCTTTGGCATTTTTCACAACAGGCTTTTGCTGCACTACAGCAATAGGACAGTCTCCTGCATTTTTTTAGGTATCAAAGGGAAAAAGATGCCCCTCACATGGGAAAGTCTATTCAGACTTTTCACAAAGCTGTGAAGGAGTCAGACCTTGAGTAGGACCATCTGCAATCTGGATCTGCATAAATCCCCATTACAGAACCAGTGATTATCCTTGTGGCAACTCAGAGAGATGTTTTTTTTGCATCTCCTGTCACACTCCAGTCCTGCTGTGTCATGTGTAATTTCTCTTGATTCTATGTTTTAAAGAACATCATCTTGCAAAGAAGCCTATAGACACATAGTGGATAACTGTGGGCCTTGCTCTCTGCTTTGCATTTCAATAACGATGGCTACAGTGACTGCTTTAACCACCCTGCTCCCTCTGTAACTTGTACACCGTTATAGGGAGCGTTGTTGCCAAAGCCATCATGTGATTTATTGACTCTCCACTGGGACAAGGGGGAAAACAGATACAACTTTGTGATTTTATTATAAGGAGACTGGGTTAATATTTCTAGGTGAAGCAAGCTACTATACCGAGTTCAAACATCTGAAGAGGGAGGTTAAGAAATCCTGAGAGTGGGGTGTAAGGATTATTCTGTCCTGGGGCAGTGCAGACGTCGTCTGAGGCGGGGAGCAGGAGAAGAAAGGAGACATTGTGACCCAGTTCCAACACCTCCTGTGTGTACAGACGGAAGTGCTTAGCCTGTACAGGGACACGCGCGGGGGAAGGAATAGGAGAGAATTACAACATGGCACTTATATAAACAACACCCCAAATGATATAAAACATTAAAGAAAATTTGCACAACATCAAGCTCGGAATTTTTATAAAACGTAAATATTTGGGGCAGGGGGGTGGTGGTGGCTAAATGTGGGTTCATGTCACTACATAAAATAAAGATTTAAAGCTGCAATGTTCCACATTAAAACAACACACACAGGCACAGCCCCCCTGAAAACAACATTTATGTTTCTTATTAGGCAGAAAATGATCACATGCCATGTGCTTTTCAAGATTATGATTGCATAATTATGTGAAAACATGAAAATGGATTCAATTAAAAACCTTTAAGATTCAATTTAGGGTTGGTTAAGAGAAATATGCAGCTCTCCCTCAACACAGCACTGAAAAGGTTTAACAAGTGCTGTAGCAAGAGAAAATGGCCCAGGCAGAAGTGGCCTGAGGCTGCTCAGAGCTGCTGTGTAGCACTGCCTTCTGCCCTGGCTGTGCCCCAGTGCCATTGTCCCTGCTCCTGGTTACCACAAAAATAATAAAAATACATAAATAAATAAATCCGTGGAATTAAAAATGCAATTCATTAACATAAAAGTTTGGTGCATCTGTATTTAACTGCAAGGTCATATTGATGCCTATCTCTCAGGCACAATAGATGAGCTCAGATGCTCGTCTGAGCTGCAGCTTCAGGAACACATTGCACAGTGATTTCAATATTTTAGTCCCTAAGTCTAAAAGAAAAAAAAAAAAAAAAAAAAAAAAAAAAAGGTGCAAAAAAAAAAAAACCCACAAGGCAA